TACAAAAATGTTAATTTTTATAAATCTGTTTGATATTAGTAAAAATCTGATTTGATATTTGTGTCAAACTTTATTTTGTACAAAGTGTGAAAACTAAATGTCTAAAGTCTGAGAATTAATTTGATTTGAAGTTTCTGCTCAGCTAAAGACTTTTATCAGAAAACCTGCATCACAAAGTTTGGACATCGATTTTGAAAAAAGGGTTTAAAGCAAGATGCTGTTGAGTTGCATTATGGGAAATGTAGGATTCTGCGTTTGACTCAGACTAAGGACTAAAAGTCAGATTATCTCAGACTCTTTCTTCAGTTTTAACCGTCAATGTTTTTCATCTTTGTGTCAGAAGTCTGAACTTTTTGGAAAAGCAGCACTGAGCTGTTTGCATTCACAGGAATTATGACAAAATTTCACACAAACGGTTAATAATTTATATTCTCTGGATAAACAGGGATGTGACCTGGAACTAGTCTGAGTGGCGGAGGGATACGACCACGAGGAGGTGATTCTAGTTTTAGTCTATATTAGTTTAGATTTTGGAAAATGAATTAAGCAGAAATCCCCATTAACAGCTCCTGTAGTTGATGTACTACTGGTTAAACTGAAAACTGGCACTGGATTTCTTTGATACTGAAGAAAACTTAAGAACCTGCAGATTCTTCAAGCCAGTTCTGAATCACTGCACTTCCTGTCCCGTGAGTCTGTTGTACGTTATCTCAGGATTACAAGACGCAGAAGTCGTTATTACGAGACAAGATTTTCTCTTTGTGCGTCAGTAGAAATGATGTTAACTGTCCGTGAGTTTGCTTTGGTCTCAGCTGAGCGGGACCAACTCCACTGATGTGATGATGTGAAGAAGAATTCCTGGTTTGTTGATTATAGTGCTGCCGGATCGTCCCATCTGTTCCTCACACACACGGAAACTTGTCAGTCTGACTGTGACTGTTAGCGCTAATTAAAGGTTTACACATCCGTCCTCTGCTCTTCCCGTCTCTGGAACAGTGTTATTAGCACTCTGAGTGTGTGTGTGTGTGTGTGTGTGTGTGTGTGTGTGCGTGCACTTACATAAGGAGATGTCATGGTGACTCAAGCCCACGTGTTTAACTTTGGGCGGTGGGTGTTGACACGCACACTGTCAGTGTTATACTCTGATTTGGTTATTTTGAAATGCTGGAGGCTGTGATGATAACCTGTAGTTTGTGTATGTGTGTGTGTGTGTGTGTTTGAGTGTGTGTGTGTGTGTGTGTCAGTGTGTGTGTTTGAGTGTGTGTGTGTGTGTGTGTGTCAGTGTGTGTGTGAACACTTCTTTCATCTCTCAAAATCACTCTTTGTACGGTGCAGGGCTGCTCTCTCCCCTCAATTATTCATCAGCTTGTTTCCATGGAAACAGCTGCAGCCGTGTGTGTGTGTGTGTGTTTTCTTTTTTTTTTGGGGGGGGGGGGGGGTTGATTTCACAGCAGGAGGATGGGCTTCATCAGCTCATTATACCCCATTACTACAGCTGATGAGCATACAGGGACGACTCCTCCACCTGTGGGACTGTAAACAGGAAGCAGCAGTTAGAGGGGGAACTAGTACTAACTAGTACTAACTAATACTAACTAGTACTACTAACAGCAAAAGTAATTGGTGACAGCTACTTCTTTTTTCATTGTATATAAACACCTGCTGTTGAACTTCAAATTCAACTTCTGGTAGTTTTCAGTGGCTCCAGCTCTTTGGTCTTCACAGAAAAATCTCAACAACTGTCACATGGTAGTTCAGACGTTCATGTTCCCCAGAGGCTGAATCCTGCTGACTTTGATGATCCTCTGACTTTTCCTCTACCGCCATCATGAGGTTAATATTTGTGGTTTTAAATTGAATATGTTCACGACAATTAAATGACTTGCAACGTCATTCATTTCAGACGTTCGTGTTCCCCAGAGGCTGAACCTCGTAGACTTCTGTGCTCGTCTGACTTTTCCTTTAGTGCCACCATCAGGTTGATATTTGTGGTTTTAAATGAAATGAAATCAGATGATTTTCCATGCAGTTTGGTTCAGACGTTCATGTTCCCCTGAGGATCAACTGTAGTAACTGTGGTGATCCTCTGACTTTCCTCTGGCGCCATCATGAGGTTCCCACAGGAACTGCCATGACAAGCCACAACATTTATTCGAAGAGTCTTCGTCAAGTGTCTTTGGAGGAAACGTAGATCTGACATTTTATTAGTCGTAGTTTTAGACTGATGCCAGCAATAGTAGTTGTAGTACATTTAGCGTCAGTAGCAGGAGTAGTAGTATCAGTAGTCGTATTTGTAGTAGCAGGAGCAGCAGAAGTACTAGTAGTATTTGTTTTTGTTGCAGTTGTACCTTTGCAGTGCAAGCGTTAGTGATATTCAATTAGCTGTTGTTAATTATGTTTTTGTTTTACAAGTAGTATTCATTTTGTTGCTTTGGTAGTATTCCCAGCAGTAGCGGCCGTAGTAGTTGTAGTATTTGTAATTGCTGTTCTTTGGTTTTAGAAAAAGTAGTAGCAGCAGCAGTACTAATAGTATTTGTTGTAGTAGCAGTAGCACCAGTGGTAACAGAACTATTAGTGATATTTGTAAATAGTATTAGCTTTCATTGTTTTTGTAGTATTGCCAGCAGCAGTAGTAGTAGTAGTGGAAGTAGCAGTAGTAGTGGTATTTATAGTAGCAGTAGGAGTATTTGTTGTTGTTGTTGTTGGTGATGGTTTAGTTTTAGAAATAGTTGTGGGTTTTTGTTTTTGTACTATTAGTAACAGCAGTAGCAGTAGTACTAGTAGTGGCAGCAGTAGTAGTACTATTTGTAGTACTAGTTGTTGTTGGTGTTAATTGTGTTTTTGTTTTACAAGTAGTATTAATACCACCAGCAGCAGTGGCAGTAGTATCTCTAGTAGCTGCTGTTCTTAGTAGTAGATTTTATATCAGCAGCAGCAGCAGCAGAAGTAGTAATAGTAATAGTTATAGTTATAGTAGTAATAGTAGTTAGTAGTACTATTTGTAGTACAAATGACTGTTAATTGTTAATTGTGTTTTTGTTTTACAAGTAGTTTTAATTTTGTTGTTTTGTAGTATTTGTAGCTATTGTTGGTGATGATGTTTTGGTCAGCAGTACTATTAGTATTAGTTTAGTAATAATAGTAGTAGTTAGTAGTAGTAAGTAGTAGTATTTAGGAAGGAAACTTGCCAGAAGCTTCATGTCAGGATATAAAACTCTCTGTAAACTCTTTCTAGTGTTTAAACAGAGATAATTGAACGGCAGTGAAGAATAAACAGGACAGATATATATATTTATATGTATATATGTATATCTATATACACACCTACATTTATATATATATATACATAAGTAAACACAGTGTGTTGTGTTGTTGTCTCCAGCAGGGGGCGGCACAGACTCACAGTGGAGCTGGTGACCTGTGTGACCAGCAGGGGGCAGCACAGTTCAGTCCAGATCCAGAGAGCAAGACCTCAGTTAAAACACTATTCTAATGTCAGAGCGAGGGGCGAGAGACACCAACAGAGAGCGGCTTAGAGAGGGAGAGAGAGAGAGGTGGATGTAATATGTTGACCTGCATTTCACTGCGGTTATGGTAACATCACTGTTAATACCTTTAATACACTAATCCAGTGTAATCTGCTGCTGGAACACTGACCCACATGTCTGACCACTACCTGCTGGAACAGGACACGCCCCCTCCACTGTCAGCCAATCGCAGCACAGGAAACAGACCAGCTGCTTCCTTATTGGCTCTGTGCTGCCAGTAGTTAGCCCGGGGCGTCCACATACTTAAGGCCACACTGTATAATGTAGTGGAATATTATACTTCCTTTCCTTCCTTTCCTCCTTTGTTAATTCCTCCCCTTCGTCCTCTTTCCTTCCTCATCCTTTTGTTTCCTTACTATTTTGTGTTTCTTTCCTTCCTTCCTTTGCTTCCTTCTTCCCTTACTTCCTTTTCCTCGTTCGTCTCTCCCTTTCTTTTACTATCATTTCCTTATTTTCCTATTTATTTATTTCTTCCCTTCCTTTGCGTCTTTCCTCCTTTTCTTCCTTTGTTCTCACTTCCTTTCATCCTTTCTCCATTCCTTCCTTGCCTCCTTTGCTTCTTTCCTTCCTTTCATCCTCTCATATCCTTACTTTCGTATTTTTTTCCTTCCTTTTGCATCTTTCCTTCATTCCTCTCTCCCTCTCTTTTCCTTTGATTTTCTCTTCCTGTTTTATTTATGTCCTCCTTTTTTGCATCCTCCTTTTCTTCCTTTCCTCCTTTCTTCCTTCCTTCTATCTTTTCTTCCTTCCTTTTACTTTCACTTCCTTCCGTTCATATTCCTTTTCTTTTTCCCTCCTCTTCTTCCTTCCTTCCTTTGCTTCCTCCATCCTTTCCTTCTCCCGTTACTCGTTCTCTCCTTCTTTCCTTCCTTTCCTTCTCTCCTTAATTCCTTCCCTCCATTTATTCCTTTCATTTATCCTTTTATCTCTCTTTATTCATTTCCTTATCCTTCCATTTATCTCCACTTCCGTCCCTTTCATGCTTGAGCCTACTCTCCGTACACTCATCCCTCCATCCATTGATCCGTGAACCCATCCATCCATCCATCCATCCATCCATCCCTCCATCCAGCTGCACAGAAACACATTACAAGTCAGCCGAGATGCACAGCAGCCTCCCTCCTCCCTCTGCCTCTCCATCACCCCTCCTCCTCCTCCTCATCATCATCCTCCCATCTGCGCAGACTCTGCTCCCCCCCCCCTCTCCCTCCCTTCCTCCCTCCTCCTCCTCCGCTGCCTCATTTTATGGAGGAGCTTCACATCTGCAGCGCTCCCTCTCTCTCTCCCTCGATGATGGCTTCTGTTTGAGGAGGTCATTCGTCAGTCAGTCAGAGAGGAAGACGAGGAGAAGAAGGGAGGAGGAGGAGGAGGAGGAGGAGGAGGAGGTGTAGTTTGTGGCGGCTACATCTGCATGGCGGAGGGGGGGGAGGCGACGCTCGGCTCGGCTTCACCATGATCGCCGTGTCGTTTAAATGTCGCTGCCAGATCCTGCGCAGGGTGAACAAAGGTAGAGAGACATAGACCAACACTGGGAGGAAGAGAGAGAGAGAGAGAGGCTGCATGTTTGTGTGTGTGTGTGTGTGTGACGGAGGGATAACTGTGTTTGTATGTGGAACGTACATGTGTGTTTGCACGGTCGAGAGACATTTGGCGTAATCTGCTGACATTGAAAAGAGAGAGAGAGAGAGAGAGACAGAGGGTTGTTTATGACCCAAGCCTCTCTGTGTGGGTGTGTGTGTGTGTGTGTGTGTGTGTGTTAGAGAGCATGCATGTGTGTGTTGAACACGATCTCCTGATGGATCCATTCAGTCGATCGCTGCAGGTAGCTCCGGACGAGAGAGAGACCCTCAGAGTGAGTGTGAGCAGAGAGAGAGAGAGAGAGAGAGAGAGCATGAATGTAATATTCATGGTGTGTATTAACAGGGGAGAGCGAGAATAGAGGAGAAAGGAGGACAGAGAGAGAGAGAGAGTGTCAAGGTTTCTGTGATTCTTATAGTCAGATGTTTCTCTGAAAGTCCGGAGCCGCCTGAAGCTTCAGGTGTTTCCCGTTTTTTTGTTTGGAGATTTTTCCTTTTGTGTTTAAACTGCTCCGTTATCAGGAAAGTGAAAGTGTTTGTCACGACTGTCAGTGTTCATTTATTATTACAGCTGATCAGATAAAACACGAATCATTTACGAAATATTTTAAAGGTATAAATGACAAAATTTTCAGCTGTTGAAATGTGAATGTTGACTGCTCTTCTTGGACTAATATGATTATAATCTGAATATATTTGTGATTTTTTTTCTGTTGGTTCGACAAAAGAAGAAATTTGATGACATCACAATGAATTTTTATCACAATTTGTAGAATAAAACCTTAATCTATCAGCGGAAGAATAAGCTTTAAACTGCTGCACGTTTCAGTGGTAGATTCAGATTTAAACCTCAACACGTGAAAGATTTAGATATTTTTATATTGAAGCCTCGAGCTGCAACAACCAATGAAAACAGGAGTCACACCTGAGACGATTACACCTTTTAATGGAGTGGAACAAAATATGAAATATTTATCCAGACAGAGATGGAGGGAAATGAAACAACAAGCTGAACTGTGCACATTATATTATATTATTCATTCTCATAGTTTTCAAGTATTTAGTTATTTCTGTCTTGGTGACATCAGTGCTGATGGATTCATTAAAAAAAATGATCAATATAGCGACAGGTTTGAGCAGGTTTATTGATGATGGGTAAAATATGAGTGAATTTAACTGATGAAGTTTTTATTCTGAAGGTGGAAGAAACTTCACATCCTAAAATCTTAATCTGTAAAGTGACAGTAACCAGGGAGGGATCATGAGACCAAAGACAGAGACGTGGAAAAGGCCCCGCCCCTCTGAGACGAGACACCCAGACAGACACAAAGTCACTGTAACACATATTTTTCTCTATTTGTGGTATTTCTGTGTCTTATTGTGGTCGTTTTAAACTGCTTTCTAATCATTTTTAGTCTCTTTGTAGTTATTTTTAGTCTCTTTGCGACATGTCGTGTCTGTTTGCGGTCGTTTTGTGTGTCTTTGTAGATTTGTGTCCCTTCCTGTCTCAGTTTGCTTGTTATTCTGGTCGTTTTGAGTCTCTTTCTAGTCGCTCTGTCGGCCCTGTAGACCCGCTCAGCAAAAACCTGCATGTCAGTAACTGTGACTGTCAGAAACATGTAGTGGAGTAAAAATGAAGTTCAGAGGAATCTGAATAGAAAAGTAAAAATCAGCATTAAATGAACTGTGTTGAATTAGGTAATGGAGTAAATGGAGCGTGTGTGTGTGTGTGTGTGTGTGTGTGTGTGTGTGTGTGTGTGTGTGTGTGTGTGTGTGTGTGTGACGACCTCTGCTGTTGAAGGTCACAGACTCTTGTTCTAACTCCTCACGTTGTCGTGTCCGTTTCATCTGAGGAAGCTTCAGTGTGACATTATTTACACAGCATCTGTTCACTCACTTTACTTGAATGTGCAGAAGCACCGTGTTAATGTCACACATCACATTATATAGTTCAGGGTCTTCCAACTTTATCATTCTTGTATTCATGTTTTGCCTTTATTTGATAGTAGAACGGCACAGACAGGAAACAGGCTGACACGCAGCTGCAGTTATAATAAGTGTTTTAACCATTAGATCATCAGGAAGCCTCTTTTGTCTGTGTGTTTGTCTCTTGAGGCAGTTTAGTATTTTTCCTTCAGTACAACTACAGACAACATTAGAAGAATATTTCAGTTTCCTCTGTTCATCAGGTATTTTATTTATTTATTCCCACGCACAGATTTAAAATAACAAATACAAGAGAAACATCTCATGTGCAGGGGAGGACAAGAAGCCCTGATGTCGACATTTGTTTTTAATGCAATAAGTCTCTTTATTTTACACTTTATTTAAAAGGACTGTGGACATTAGGTGGAGATGTGCAGCTGGAAACTAAAGGGGTGAAGTTGGACGAACTGACCCAATGTGCAAAAGAAATGTCACTTAATTGAACATGTACCGATAAATAAGTGGATCAATAATGTGTGGCAGCTGTTTATGAAATATATTTCTCTTACCTGTGGCATTATTTCATAGTTTCTTCTCTAAAACTCAAATATAACGAGCAGGTAATTATTAACTCACGTTGAAATATCCTGGTGAGTAGCAGTTAAATATCAGCTCATCCTGAGGAAACGTTTTTACTGCTGCTGTTACTTTTGCAGCCTGTAGGGGCGGCGCTGGTCTGGCTGTTGAATGACTGTTGAATGGCTGTTTGAGGCACTCGATGTCTAAGAGAGTGTGTGACCTTGTTAAACAATTACAGCTCAATGAAAGGAGCTAAAAGTATTTATATTATATAACGAACCACAGTTTGTAGAATATGTGAGTTAGAGAGAGAGAGAGAGAGATGCAGCTGTCCTACATCTGGAGGAGGAGGCTTTCATCTCCAGTTAGCCATGGTGTGTGTGTGTGTGTGTGTGTGTGTGTGTGTGTGTGTGTGTGTGTGTGTGTGTGTGTGTGTGTGTTCAGTGTTCACAGTCTCATTGTGTTTCTGAGCTCAGCTGCCTGAACCAAACAGAAGTGAAAAAAAAAAAAAAGATCTGGAGCAGATTAGAATAAAGTAGAGCGAAATAAAATAGAAGCAAACTGACGACCAAAATAGAACAACAGTAAAGTAGAAGGGGGCTGTCGCTCTGTGATGAGCTCAGGTACAGTGTGAACCTGTGATGTCAGGGTTAAAGTCACATGATCACTTAAAATAACCATAAAGAATACACACCAGACACGGCACGTACAGTTTCACCGTGTCCAGATCCCTAAAACCTCCATGCTCCGTTCCAATAGATACGGGTCAAAGCCTCAACGTACAAACATTTGAAGCACCTGTACTGAAGTATAACATTTTAAATTATTTTCATTTTTGTGTATTTTTGGTAGGAAAAGTCATCAAATTTCAGACTAAAAGACATTTAGGGTGTTTTTACTGCTGTCAAATGTCAAAACGGGTCAAATTTGACCTGAACAGTATGTAAGGGTTAACATGAACCTGCTGTAAACCTGGGTTAACATGAACCTGGATTAATTAAGGTTTAAGTTTAGTGTAAAAATTGATTTATATGCTCAGATAATTTTATTTATTTCTAAAATCTCAAACCTTTTTATTCTTTTAAAGGCAAAACTATAAAAACGGCAAAGTTCTAAAACTGTTTAATTACAATTAAAGGTCAGAAACAAGTCAATTGATTCTGTCAAATATAAAACAGGATCAATAAGTCACAGACACAAATAATCATATAAAATACCCACCACAGTCTGACTGTAAGCTAACGCTGTGTATTTGACGGATGCTGAAGCTGCAGAAAGGAACAGAAAGTGGCCGATCTGCTGATGACATGACGATTGAAATATTCAGATCATTACTTAAATGGTTCTGGTGGTGAACTTAGGAAGAGATGGTTTCTCTTCTAATTGGGTTCATTATCAAAGTTGAATCACATCGTCAGAGTCACTGTAACAAACGATCGTCTCAACATTGATTGATTACAGGCCGTTATTTCCTGCTCCAGTTTTGAACAGTTTTTATGTTTGTTGTTTCTCAGCTGTAGTAAATATAACTTGTGTATCGGCTGTAAACTGAGAATATTGAGGGTTTTATTTATTTGTATCATCATCACATATGACCCTCATCCAATCAAATAAAATGACAATCGATCGATCAACCAGTTAAAACACAAATCTGATCACATCTGTGCATCAACACTGATCCACATGACATCATAGTGACTCTCTCAGCAAACAAAAAAACCCTCTGTCAGACGCCTCATCTGTGTGATGACATCATCGGGGAGGTGTCCCAGCGGGCCGCTGTGATTGGTCCAGGCTTTGCTAGACCACAGTGTTCTCCACAGGGATTGGTCCCTGGACTGATGAGGTCACCGCTCTGTGAGTGTTTTTTATTCATGAGCACAGGCTGCTGCAGCTTTACACTGCAAACCAGACAGATAACTGGTGAGGAAGAGTCAGTCCGTTAATTCTCAGAGCTTCATTAGGTGTTAATGAGCAGCGTGACTGAAGCCGATGGTGCTAACGGCCTAAATTACTGGTTAGTGATGCCAGGAAGCTTTTAATTCAAGGATTAATGTAGCTTCTCCATTTGTTTTGTTTTTTTAATGATTAGCACTTTAGCTCTGAGATGTATTTCTGTAGTGGAAGCTCTGTAACGTCTGATGATGATGGTGAGTAGAGATGCATTATGGGAGGTTGTCAAGGACATTTGGTGGATACTGAAATCTGTGAGGTTTCTGTCTGTTGTGGTTTGTTTGGACTCGGAAGTCAAAGGTTGTCAAAAACTTAAAACTCTCAGTTGGTTTTTATTGGAGCCTCAGAACCCGTTAAAGGAACTGGTTGAACTTCTAAACATTTAAACGGACTGTTTGAGCCGTAGCCGTTAGAGAAACTGGTAGAGGTTTAAAACCATTAAAAGGATCTGGTCGAGCTGTAGAACAGGTTAGAGGAACCTGTAACCAGTTAGAGAAGTGGTGATGGTTTCAGAGCTCGATACCAGTGGCACTTCAGGACCAATTAGAGAAACTGCTGAAGCTTCAGAACCTTCAGAACTTCAGATCTGATGGAGGTTTGTAACCATTTAAAGGAACTGGACGAGGTCTGTACCCAGTTAGGGGCTCAGTTAGACCTTCAGAACCAGTTAAAGGAACTGGCACAGTGCAAGTCTGAAACCAGTCTGAGAAGCTCTGAACCAGTGTGTGTTTCTTACTGTGTATATTAATGTGTGTTTTGTGTGTTTCCTTGTGTTTCAGATGAGGGGCCGTACACCAAACACTCCGCCGGGTCGAGACCTCCAGAAGGAGCGCTGGCCATCAGGAGGCAGAGTATACCAGGTAACACACACTCACACACACACTCACTCACTCACACACACACACACACACACTCACACACACTCACACACCACCACACACAGTTATTGTTCTGATAAATTCTAGTTGATTTTGTCATTTGTCGTCTGTTGTGTCCATTGTTTCCTTTTCCATTTGTTCTGATTCTTCTCTGTGTGATTCCACCAGCAGAGCTAATAAAGCTCTGATGAAGATAACAGCTCTGAAAATAGAGTGCGCGCACACACACACACACACACACACACACACACACACACACACACACAGTTCGCTGATGTTTTCTATCTGTGACCTGCAGGAAGATGCTTGGAGTTGCAGTTTATCTCCTCCCACCTGGAGCTGGTGTCCTACTTGCAACCTTTATCTGAGCGCTGTAATCACAATTAGCCATTAACACTGCAGGTGAAATATGTGAAGATCTGTTAGACTTTTTGGAACCAGTTTAACCATCACAAACCTGTGACGTGGTCGAGCTAAAAACGGAGTAAAGGAACCAGTAAGAGGCACTGGTGGAAGTGGCGGAGCTTCAGATCCAGTTGATGGAGCTTTAAAGTCAACCAGACACTGGGATCTGAACCCGTTAGAGCAACTGGTACAACGTCTGGACAAGTTAAGAGAACTGGGAGAGCTTCTGAACCAGTGACAGAACTGGTAGAGCTTCAAACAACCAGTAAGAAGAAATGGTAAAGGTTTAGAACTAGTGACATTATTTGGTGAAGCTTCAAAACCAGTGGAGGAACTTACTTAACTGGTCGGCCCCTGAACCAGTTGGTTGAATTGGTCATAGAGCTTCATAAACCTCAAGACCAACTGGTAAAGGAACTGGTAGAGGATTGGAACCAGTTAGAGAAACTGATGGGACTTAAGAACCAGTTGCTCCAGGAAGTGGTCGATCTGTAAGATGATCTGGTGGGTGTTCGGAACCAGTTAGAGGATTTGGAACTTCCGATCCAGTTAAGGAACTGGTAGGGGTCCAAAACCAGTTAACTGAACTGGTGGGACTTAAGAACCATTAGGAGAGCATAGTAAAGGTTTTAAACCAGTTAGAAAGGAACTAGAGGAACTACTGGAGGTTCATAACCAGTAAGAGGAACTGCCAGAGCTTCAGAACTACTGCTCTAAAGGTTCTGAACTTGTTAGAACAACTGGTACAACCTTGGAACCAGTTAGAACGTCTGAACTAGTTACAGTAACTGGTCCAGCTTCTTAAAACACTTACAGGAACTGGTAGAGATTCTGAATAAAGTAGAGGAACCGTTAGAGTTTCAGTACTAGTGCAGGGGACTAGTAGTGGTCCAGAACCACTTTGATGTGCTGGTGGACAAAATGGTACAGTTTTAAAACCAGTCAGAGGAGCTGGGTGAGGAGCTAGCAGATCCAGGACCAGTTACAGGAAGTGGTAGAGCAACAGAACTACTTACAGAACCAGTTTAGAAGAACTTTGGAACCTGTTAAAGAACCGCTAGAGGTCCAGAACCAGTCAGATGAACTTGTGGAGCTTCACAACCACTGAGAGATAATGGTACAGGTTTAAAGCTAGTTCCTAGTCGGGTTTTTGAACCAGTTAGAGAAACTGGAAAGGCGACTTAAAGGAACTGGTAGAATGTCGAAACCAGTTCAAGAGACTGGCTCGTTGCTTGGAGC